CCATTCATTCATGCTTCAATCTCATTGATCAATGACGTATAAAAAAATGAAACACATTTCATTTAATCATAATTATAAATTTATAGTTTTGATAATTTTATAAAAATATAAAAATATGTGTAAATTTTAATTTTTTTTTTACAATTTTAGGCCTTAGGCCTATTGGCTTTGGGCTCAGGACGCCCATGGGCTATCACACCCCAATTGGCTAGCAGCCTAGCACTTGCCTAGCGTAATTGCACATCCTTGGCTTCGTGTAGCCACTAGCTAGTGCCTAGCATTGGCCTTGGTTGGCTAGTTGGCTAGTACCTAGTACCGGCTCGGCTTAACTATTGGCACACCTTGCCTATTAGTGACTCGGCGCACTCACGTGTATGCCTAGCCTCGTTACCTAGCATGCTTTCTCGCGAGTGGCCTTAGGGCCGGGCCTTGGCCTCGGCATGCTCCGGAATGCTTGGCCTTAACACGCCCGGCATGTGGAAGGCCTCGCCTAGCCTAGCCACGTGCTTGGCATATGTGAGGCATGCTTATTGGCGCGCATATGAGCCCAACGTCCAATTTTTGCCTTACATGTGCCTTGTTATTTATAGCCTAAAAATCAATTTTAAGATATTATAAAATACCAAAAATCCTAAATTTAGAATAAAAAATAATAATCCATACAATTAATCATGATTAATATAATATACAAGTAAAGATTCAAGAGAGGTTACGATACTAATTGAAGGATCACACATCCTATAGAGGTGCAAAATAAATAAGAAATTTACACCATCTTGGGTTCCCAAGATCTTTCAACTGAATCAACTAATCATATATAAACATAATTAATCATAATTAATAAACAAGTAATCATAATTAATAATTCATACAACTAATCATAATTAATATAATATACAATAAGGATTCAAGAAAGGCTCCGATACTAATTGAAGGATCTTGCATCCTATGTAGGTGCAAAATAAATAAAAAATTTCCACCATCTTGGATTCCCAAGATCTTTCCATTTAATCAACTAATCATATATAAACATAAATTATATTAAGATGAGTGATTACCTCTTGTAGTACATAAACAATGTAAGTAGAAAGGAACTATCCTAATGTCCATCCTCTATTAATTATCCATGCAGCTCAAACACCCATACTAGAAGAAGAAGAAATCATCATGTGCTTGCTCCAACTATTCTATGTAGTGAATTTTCTCTAGAAATCCTTTTAGGGTAATTTGTGCTAAGCCTAGTGAGAGAGAGAAGTTGGTTGAATTTTTCTAGGGAGAGAGTGCTCTTCCTTTTTTCGTTTTCTAATGTATTATGCTACCTCTCTCTCTCTCTCTTTTATTTATAAGGGTAGTAGCTTCTCTTTTTAGGTTAAAGAGATATTGTTTATATGGGCTTTGTCTAACCTTACCCATGTAAGCCCTAAGCCTTATCCAAAGTGCTCAAGTTTATTCTTCCATCAAAATATCTTATAGGCTTTCAAATTATACCTTTTTGCCTAATTAATTACTAATTTATTTAGAGTATCCAAATAAAATGAGTCAAGTATTTTAGTAAAGCCCATATTAGGAAATAATTTTTCAAATTATCCTTAAACCTAAATTAGGAACCTAATTCCAATTTTAGGTAACTCGTCTTCTAAATTTGGAACTAACTTCGAAATTAGGAAATTGATTTCTAAAATGGGGAACTGAATTTCCATTTTAGGAAATTGACTTTCCAAAATATGAAGCTTTTTAAAATAGGAAACTTTCCAAAACATGACACTTATTTTAATAACCTTTGCTTATTTTTTACCGTGTAAATGTTTAAACTTATACATGTGACTCAATAGATAATTAGTTATGTTGGCAATGACTCAAGAAGATAATAGACACCTCTTTTATCTTTTGATACATAAATTAAGATTGGCCTCTAGGAACGCATCATGATTGTTAAACTCTCTAAGATGATTAATTAATCCGTAATTACCTTTCACAGGAGTAGTTTCCATACAATTCAATCCTCATGTCAATTTACCATAGTGTGATCTTAAACTTGGTTTATAGTTTACTTGATTATGATCACACAAATTTTCTTCAATCTTTAAATTGCATAGCTCACAAGTAAACCAAGTTATGCTCTATTGGTATACTTTCACTCGCGCTCACGATTTCTTAAGCGAGAAGATCATCAAAGTGCAATGTGATAATTTGTTTAGCATAAAACAAATGATATGTCATATCTCAATCATCCATATATCTTTAGTAGATTCCTAATGCACCCAATGAATCATCCACATGTAGCTCTTTACTAAACCCATCGAAACGAATGTCAAAGTACACTAGTCCTCTAAGAAGATAATTGTGATGATGACTTTAAGTCAAAAGACCGAGTTGTACCCATCTCGTACAAGATTCCTATAGACTAAACCAGATGGGTTCTTATGGGAGGTCAAGTCTAGTAATATATGTTCTTTAACATTATTCACCTAAGTGCTTGCTTTTGCATTACCATGTCGAGTAGGTGTGAGATCTCCTATTGATATCTAATAGCAAGAGCATAACACTCACAAGTCTTACCACCTGTTGTCAATGTCCAATCTTGACAATACTACGACTTAGGATATTTAATGATATCATTTAAATACATTAATATTTATCTCACATCAATTGATCAATCATTAATGTAATGCATATCATCTAGATTTTTATCTAATTATATCAAATTATAAATAACTAGAATTAATAGAAAGACTTCTTTTATTAATGTAAAAAATGCAATGATACAATAAATCAAATCATGCAAATATGTTGGATCTTTAGCACCTACACTAACAAAAGCCACATCCACCGATGTATCTGTCACTTCAAAGAGCTCTCAAAGCTCGCTCCAATTGGCTATATATTTCGTCACTACGACATTTAATTTTATCAAAAAGATGTGTCTATTTTTTATTTTAATATATCATTTCAATAATGATGTATTGTTTCCTTTTTATGATGTTCAATAGTTTTAGTCAGCCTAGTAAAGATTATTCTATGAGGATAACCATAAATTTCAATGAGCAATTGGATGTCGGTGGGTTGGTGTGGAAGTCCTTCTCGAAGCTCACTAAACAATTCTACTTTAGTGAATTTAGGGTAATATATTATTAATTTTTTATTATATTTAAAATTTTAATCTAACCTTAAATGAAGTAGTTAATATTAATTTTTTTTTCATGTAGAAACGTTTTTATCGGGATTTGGCCATTGAGGCATTTGTCAAGGAAGCTTGGAAGGCTCGGACAAGGAAGTGCTATTCCAACTTCATCTACAACCATAGCTTGCTACCGGAATGACCTAATTTTATTAGGTAGGAGGTTTAGGACTCATGGCATCAAAATTTTATAAGACCCGATCGCAAGGCTAGTTAAGAGCAAGCATCGTAGAATCTGGATGTCGAAGATTGATGGCCCTAGTATGGGCCCTTCGGGAATACGAGAGGGTCTATCTCTTTGGAAGAACACACCCATCGCTTGATAAATCATATCTTATATTATTAAATTTTTAAAAAATTTAATTTGTATCTCATATTTTTTGTGATTCATTTTTTGAGGAGAAAAAATTAGGGCATGAGCCAATGAGTTTGGAACTATTAGGGGCTACTTACAAGCGACTAGACAACTCTTTCATCGATCTACATGCCTAGCATATAATGGTAAGTGTTTTAAATTTTTAAATTTTATTTATGTAAATATAATCAAAAAATTATTTAATTTTTAACATTATAATTATTTTGATTATGCAAGAGCATGTTGATAAGCTCATACAAGAAGCTATTACGGAGCGACGAGCGGAAGCAATCTCAAAGCCATAAGTGGACAAGAACACAATATACCTCGAGACTATAATGGAGAAGAAGAAGAGACTATATGGTATAAGCACACAAGCATCACATTATCCGTCCTAGTCGGATGGTGCCAACTCGTCTTTTATGTCATCGCATTATACCGATGATATTTCTCATAAGGAGGTTCGGAGGCGGTATGAGGAGATAAAGAACGCAATGCAAGGGATGCGGTCCAAACAAGATGAGCTGCATAACATTGTTACACAATAGTAGAGTACCATATGTGAGGCTGCAGTCGTAGTACGACTCACTTGCCTTGACATTGAATTGGCTAGCATAGACGTCCAATTTGCCTATAGATCTATCCACCAATCGAGACTCCATTGTCCCTCCCATTGAGTCTTGGGAGGAGGAGGAGAGGAAATTAGATGATCAAGATGACGATCAAGAGTGATATTTTATTTTTCTATTTGGTTTTTTTTTTCTTTAGTACTACTAAATATTTTTTTAATATTAATTTAAATTTAATTTATAATATTTAAATTTTAACAAAAAATTAAATTTTAATAATATGTTGTTTGTTCTAATTGTTAATTACTAACATAAATTTAAAAACAAACAAAAAAAATTATTGATTTTTTTTTAAAAAAAATTTAGTAACGGATTAGCGTTGAAAATTAGCGACGAAAATGGCAACGAAATAGCGATAACCGAATTAGCTTCGGATATTAGCAACGAAATATTGACCATTAATTAGCAACAAAATTTACAATGGAATAGTGTCACATAAGATGATGTTTTTGGTGAATAATTAGTGACAAAATGTAGCTATATTAGCGATGGATACTTTTTGTCGTTGTTAGGGTTAGCAACAAAAGTTTTAGCAATGAATTTTATTCGATCACAATTCCGTTACTAAATGCTTTTAGTAACGTCTTTTCTCTTATTAGCGGTAGATTTTTTCGTCCCTAACTAACACTTTTCTTGTAGTGTAAACCAAGTAAATGCAGCCATGCAAAGCTTTGTTCACTTCAAGCATAAAATAACCGGGTTTTTGCAAGAGATATTCAAATATGTTGCCTTTTTTTTCCTATTCAAGATGGTAATTTTGGTTTTGCCCACGAGGACCGTAAAATTTTTCTCAAGTACAAATCCTTGCTGTTTCACCGGTGTTATCACCTAAAAACAACTATTTCCTATCAACACTCGGTGTCCTCTTAGTGTGTAATCTATGATGATAAGAATCCAACATTTTTATCAAATCTTGTTGTCCTCTCATCTCATCTTGGTTTATGTTAAAGAAATCAAAAGACATATTCCTTCTCCTTCTCTTTGTATCTTAAAGATATCATTTACCTTTTTTATTTATAAATGTTTATGTAATCAAAACTTTAAATGATATAATTTTTTTATAATACATCTAATTAAAGTTCATTTTGTAAAAAAATTATTTAAATACAACTATATATATATATATAAAATGATATTTTTAGAAAGTATTGATATAATATACTCTCTCTATCCCAAAGAGATTGTGCCAACTTCTACTTATTTTTGTCTTAAAATGATCATCTAGTCGAACTTTAAATGCTGTATTTTTTTAAAGTATTGTTTTTTAAAAAAAATTTGGAACTCAAATTTAACAAAATGGAAGAATATTTTAAGAAAAAAAACTGATGTGTCATAACAGTCAACATCTTTCTTAAATTATATGAAAAATCGGAAGGGACTAATATTTTTTATTTTCTTAAAATACTCTTCCATTCTCTCAAATTTGAGTTCCAAAATTTTTAAAGGAAGTTAGCATTAAATATTAAACAAACAAGATGGACGTTGTTTGCTTCAAGAAAATGATTAACTCTCGTGAACCTTAATAAACTCTTAAATTTTTTTATTAAAAACCCACAATCAATGAAGTCAATATATTAATTAATCACGTTTAGATAAACCATAAATAAACTACCTTCTAACTGTCCTTATTTTTTTAGGAAAAAACCCCTCCCATCGATTTGTGGGGCTAAAAAGTTAATTAAATACCTTTTTCGGGTTCATAGTAGTTCAAAGCGACGGAGGCAAACAATGAGATTAAATAATAATAATAATAATAATAAGGGCAGCCAAAGACTAGTATCATCAAGACTCTCTCAATATGCAAAACCACCAGCTCGGTTTCTTGTGCTTTTGCGGTGACGAGAAGCCGAAGTTGAAGAAGTGCTTTTAGTAGAAGAAGAAGCACAAGAAGTACTAGTTGGTTTCATTGCAGCAAATGAACAGTTCTCTTTCCTTATTGTCTCTTCTTTATCCATCAGTATCTGCCTGCACCTGCAATTCACTCTACCAAAACCCATGTCTCCGCTGTATACAACAAATAAACAATATAATCATCTAGTATTTAAATCAATATTTTTAACACAAAAATAAAATTTTAACCCCGCCAAATATTTCAACCTAAATTACCCAATAAAATAAAATAAAATAAGATCCGGGTTATGTGAAAAAAAAAAAAGAAGCCTTGATAAAGTTTAATAAAATATCACTAAGATTCACTCGTTGATGGAAAAATATGGCCTAAATAGATAATAGGTTAAGTTTGGTAGATAGAGTATTTTGAAATGGAATGTTTATCCCATATTGAAAACAAAAGAAAAGAAGAGGCATTTTATAATTAGACATCCTATAAAAATTTTCAATTGGAAGAATTTGGAAGGAACTCAAATTGGAGGAGCGAAGCTAGTGGGTGAAATATAATCAAAAGATTAGGACATAACACTTCTTTAACTTACGATTAATTAATTTCAGATTTATGTTTTATCTTTGATTAAATTAAATTCACAATTAATTAATTATTTTTTCTGTGAGAGTTAATTAATTTCCAAAAAACAAAATATCACTCTTGGATTATGATTGTTAAAAAGTAACAATTAGTCATTGAATCAAATTAGTTTTTTTACAGTCATATTTATGAAAGGTTTTCAACAATCTATAAATAGAGGACTACTTGCTCAAAAAATAATTATTTATTTCTTACGCAATCCTCCACATTCACCTCCTCCTCCTCTCAAAGCTCTTCTCTTCGAGAAAATTCTACAACTTCAATGGAAATCTCTTAAAGGAATTTTAGAAGTGTTGTCCGCAATTCCTTGGTGCAAAGTTGAATTCTAAAGATGGATTGCCAAATCCTTATAGTATTATAGTAGAGGCAATAATCACTTTAAAAATTGTATAGGGATATTTTCCGCATGCCATTAAATGTTGTGTTCTCTTGTTTTCTTCTCTAAATTTTTGCATCCACTTTAGAGATATTCAAGAATCTTAGGGTGATTATTTTGAAGATGGAAGCAAAGGCGAGAAAGTTCCTTTCAACTAATGGATCGAACGTCATGAATCTAGATCGCTTTGATGGAACAAATTGGAATTGATGGAAGGACAAAACTATGTTCATGCTTACCGTAACGAAAGTTGCTTATGTGCTAGACCCAAAATTGGAGGATCTCCTAAAACTAAAGGATGATGTTATGAACAACTTAAGGGTGATCGAGAGAAACATATTATTGACGAAGTACTATACGAGAGGTCACATTCTCAACACATTATCAAATCAATTATATGATCTTTTCACTATTGTTCAGCAACCAAAAGAAATCTAACATGTGTTGGAGTTTAAAGACAATGCTGAAAAATAAGAGATAGATAAGTTTTTACTTACAAATTTCATCGAATTTAAAATTGCTAATAATTTATCTATTATGGATCAAATGCTTGCTTATTTTTTATGTTATCAAAACTAAAAGAGCTTCAATTTCAAATTTCTAAATCACTATAAGTGGGGACTATAATGACAAAGTTACCCTATAATTGGAATAAATATAGAAAGAAAATGCTTCATACCATTAAAGATTTAACTTTGGAACAATTTGAGAAACATATCGGGATTGAAGAGGATACTCGAAACTTGTAGAAAAAAATTTTCAAACTTTTTCCAAAGTAAATTTTGTGGATGACAAAAAGCCAAATTCAGGAGGAAAGAAACATTATGGAGAAAACAATTTTGGAGGAAAGAAAAGAAATTTTCAAGAATTCTCTAGCTTTAATGCAATGAAAACTAAGACCAATAAGTCTTGTTACATTGAGGAAAAAAAAGGATATTTTAAGCATGGTTGTTGATATAGGAAAAAAAAGGCGAGAAAATACCAATGCTACAAATATGGTTAAAGATGAAAATGCAATTGTTGTAATGATTTTAAAATATCTTATTAGCATGATCACGGAATTGACATGAGAGCTACAATAAAGACATTTGATTGGTGGTATGATTCGGTGCTACCATGCATGCTCGCAATGACAAGGCTGAATTCAAAACTTTGGATAAGGTAGTTAATGGATTTGAAGTGATGATGGGAAATAATATCACTTCAAATGTTCTTGGAAAAGGCACTATCGAAATATCATTTACTTCGAAAAGAAGTTAGTGCTAGTCAATGTTATGTTTATTCTAGAAATTAGGAAGAATCTTATATTTGTAAATGTATTTGTAAGAAGAGAATTAAGGCTACTATGAAGTCCGATGAAATTGTATTTTCTAAGAATGGTGCCTTTATAGGCAAAGGGTATTCTTGTGATGGCAAGTTCAAACTCAATATTATTAATAATATGAAGGATTTTGTTTATATTGTTAGCTTTAGTTCTTCTCACTTATGGCATGTTAGATTAACATATGCCAATTTTAGTTAGATTAAATATATGTCAAAACATGGTTTGATGTCTTCCAATAGTAATATCAATGAAAAATGTAAAATTTGTATACAAGCAAAAATGACTAGGAAGCTTTTTTCTTCAATTGAAAGATCTTTTGTAAAATTAGAAATTATTCACTTTGATATATGCAAATTAAATGGAATTTTAACTAGAAGATGAAATAGATATTTTATTACTTTCATTGATGATCATTTTAGACGTGCTTATATGATTTGAGGAAAATTAAGGATCAAGCATTTGGCATGTTTATGTGTTATAAATTTGAAGTTGAAAATCAAACAGAAAAGAAGATTAAAGCCTTAAAAAGTGATAAGGGTGGAGAATATTTCTCCATTAATATTTTTTTTGTGAGGTTAATAGAATTATACAAGAAATGAGTGCACTATATACCCTAGAATAAAATGACTTAGCTAAAAAAAAAAAAATACAATACTAGTTGATATGGTGAATTGAATGATTTTAAATGCTAATTTACCTAACAATTTTTGGGGTGAAGCATTGTTAATAGCATGTCATGTGCATAATAAGACACCTTCTAAGAACTAAAGTCTCACTATATGAATTATGGAAAGAGAGAAAACCAAATCTAAGTATTCTTGGAGTTTAGGGTCAGTCTAGCTTTTTTATAGAATCACGGATCTTAAAAGAGTCAAATTAGGACCAAGAGATCTAAAAAGTATGTTTATGGAATATGACCAAAATTGCAAGGCATACAGATTGTTGGACTTAGAGTCAAATGTGAAAATGAAATCAAGGAATGTTGAATTTATTGAACATAAATTTTCCAATTCTAATACTACCACACAAACACATGAATAAACTAATCCAAGTAATAAAACAAAATCTCTTGATACTTCTAGTGAACCTAGAAAAAGTCAAAGGACTAGAAAGGAAAAGATCTTGGATTTAAATTTTATTGATTCATAGTCTATTGTCTTTGTAGTTAATGGTCATAGGAAATCTATACTTAATAAAATGCCAATTTTAGTAAGTATAAAAAGAAGATCTAAGAACTTGTAGAGAAGTTATGGCATCAAGAGATGTAGCATTCTAGAAGAAAGCAATCAATGACAAAATGGACATAATATTATTTAATAATACTTGGGTATTATTGGATTTGCCTTCCGGTTCAAAGCTTATAGGCTGTAAATGGATATTTTGTAGAAAAAAATATTGATGAATCAATACAAACATTTAAGTCCAAATCGGTAGTAAAAGGATTTAAGCAAAATGAAGGTATTGATTACTTTGACACATATACTAGTGGTTAGGATATCATCTATTAGAGTATTATTTGCTCTAGCTTTTATTCATAATCTAATAATGCATCAAATGGATGTTAAGATGGCCTTCTTGAATGGTGACTTCGATGAAAAAGTATATATGGAACAACTTGAAGCGTTTCTATTGCTCGAAAATGAAAAGAAAGTATGTAAGCTAGTTAAATCAATATGCGATCCGTAATAAACACCAAAAAAATGGCATGAAAATTTTGATTATGTTATATTTTCTCATGGTTTTAAGCATAATAATATAGATAAGTATATTTATTCTAAATTTATAAGAGAATATGGTGTATTGTATGCTTATATGTTAATGATATGCTTATATTTAGGATAAATATTAATAATGTGAATGAAACAAAAAAGTAGTTATACTCACATTTTAAGATGAAAATCTTAGAGAGGTGGATACTATCTTAGGAATCAAAGTAAAGAAAAATGTGAGGGTTATGCTTTGTGTCAATCCCATTACATTGAGAAAATCATAAAAAAGAATCAAAATTTAGGAATTAAAGATGTAAGCACCCTATATGAAAGTTCACATAGGCTAATAAAAAATTCTAGACGCTCAAGTTGAGTATGCTAGTGTAATTGGCAACTTAATGTATGCCTACACCGAACTAGGCTAGACATTTCCTTTGTAGTTTGAAAGCTCTTAAGGTACAATAGTAATCTTGGTATTGGTAATTGGAAACCAATTTCCAGATTCCTTGGATATCCGAAAAGAACTTTGAGTTGGGACTAACTTATTAAGGTTATCCATCAATGATGTAGGGATATACTAATGCTAGTTGGATAACAAGTGCTAATGACAAGAAGCCTACATCTAGTTGGGTATTTACCCTTAGTGGAGGAGCTATTTCATGAACTTCTCATGCGTCGAAATATGTACTAAAAATTAACGGGCAATACTCATAAGTATATGAGGTAATTAAAGTACTAGTGAGTCACCCAAGGTCGTATTCTCAAAGAGATGTTATTGGGCATAAAATAATTTAATTCCAATGACAAACGAAACAATAAAGTGAAATCCTAAACACTCTAACCAGATTGTGTTATGAAAATATTAAAATAAAAAAAAATGAAAAGTAACTACCGTAATTGTAACAAAACGGAGAACCGAAATCAATGTGAGAACATTCTTGAGAAATAGCTTCACCCATTAAATCCTATGTTTAATTAAAATTACTTAAATAGTTATTCTTGCGAGTATTAGTAATTGGACATCAATTTAATTAACTAAATATCTTCATAACTTTCGTATTCGGAAGGTCTAAAACTAGATTAAATTAATTAATCCTTTTACTAATCTTTCTTCACTAGATTATTGGATTTCTCATTAATAACCTAGTGTCTACGAGTCCTTTAGTCTAGTATTGAGTTTTATTGATCGATCTCAACTCAATACCACAAATACATATAATTGTTGGCCAAACACTCACATATAAATAGTTTCAGAATCACATAACTAAATACAAGAACAACTAAATAATCAATTTAATTAAACATATTCAATAACAGGATCCGTTAATTCTCAAGAAAAAATTTAGCTCATAATTGAAAGATAAACATCTACTAATTTAATCAAAATAAATTTCATGTTTTCACAATCAAGAATTGAAAGCAATAAAATCGAGAGATTTAGAAGTAATCTGGGTTGTCTCTACTTCGGTTGAGGTTGGTCTCCGTTCGGCTTAAACACAAATCCTTACCCGGTCTCTATCGTCCGTCTTCAATGGCTAAAAACAATCTGGTCGTTGGAAAGTCTCCGGGTTTTTTAGAGAATTTCCCTATGATAGAGAGAATGGTTCATATCTCCATAGGTGGCCAAATATCCTAAACACCTCGCTTCGCTTTCTATTTATAGCTCTTATTTCCAAAAATTAAATTCGCTCAAAATTTACACAATCTTCGATTTCTATTTGCTAAAACTCGCAAAATTCACCCGTAATCCCGAAGAATAGGAACTTAGTTGTCATATCGGTGTGAATCAAGCCATTGTCGTGACTTAATGGAAGGTCACACCCATGACTAATTGGTCATGGCCGTGAGCTTTTCTTCCCCTCGAAGTCATGGCCATGACTTCTTTTAATCACTTTCCTTACTACAATTTCCAATTTGATCTTGAACCTAAATAAAACATAATTTAAGGATAAAAACATACATATAACTAAAAATAACAATAATGTAAAAATAATAGGAAAATGAAATAAAAACTTACTATAAAACTAGAATTATTCTATAAAAATTAAAGTAAAAGCTACTAAAATACTATGTAAATAATAGACATAACAGACTTCTCAAAAAAAAAAATAAATAAAAAAATAAAAAAAAATAAAAAAATATATAACTCATTCCATTATGGAATCTGAGTTTGTACCATTAGTAGCCATAGGAAAAGAAGTATAATGGCTAAGGAACTTATTATAAAAACAGAGTTGTGGCCACAATCGATTCCGACCATTTCATTGTATTACGATAGTGAAGCTATTATACTTGTGGCTTTCAGCATGATATATAATGGGAAATCTAGACATATAAGCTTGAGACCTAAATATGTTAAGTAATTAATTCTTGTAGGAATCATCACAATCTTATATATAAGAACAAGCAACAACATAGAAGATCCATTTACAAAGGCACTTACTAAGGATTTTGTAAGAAAAACTTCAATTGGAATGGGTTTAAGACCCTTCTCCTAGAGTCACTAGTGATGGAATCCTAATTTTTTTCTAGTATTATTACTAGTTAAAAGTTCAAAGGGTACAAACAAGTTAATAATAAGTGGTTGTGGAAGTGTTAGTGTAGGTGCTCAAAATCAAACTATGTTTGGATAGGTTTGAGTGATTATAACATTCCATTATGTACTTTATTAATAATAAAAAAGTCTTTCTATTAATTCTTATTGTTTATATTATTTGTTAAATAGAACTAGATAGAACTCCATATGATATACATTTTCATTAATAACTGATCAAAAGATATGAGACAAACATTAATACAATTAAATGATATCATTAAAAGTCCCAAGTCATAACATTGCAAAATATGGAAATTGACAATGTGTAATTAGACTTGTGAGTGTTATGCTCATGCTATATGATAGTAGTAGGAGATCTCATACTCATTAGCATGATGATCCCAAAGCAAGCACTTAGATGATTAATGCTAGAGAAGATATCACTAGAATTGACTCGCCATGAGAACACATTTGGTTTAGTCTATGAGAATCTCATACGAGATGGGTACAATTGGTCTATGACTTGAAGTCATCATGGTTATCTCATTAGAGGATTTATGTACCTTGACACTCATTTTGATGAACTCGGTAAAGGGTTGCATGTGGGTGATTCATTGGATACACTAAGAATATAACGAGAGATAGGTGGATAAATAAGATAGGACATGTCATTTCTTGTATGCTAAAAGAGTTATCACATTGCACTTTGATAAATGTCTACTAAAAAAATTTATGACAACCGTAGGAATACACTAATATAGCATAGTTGGTTTACTCTATGAGCTAAGACATTTGGGAAATGAAGAAAACTTATGTGATCATAATCGAACAAACTAATAACCAAGTTCAAGATCACAATATTATAAATTAACGTGAGAATTGAATTGTATGATAACCATGCTTGTGAAAGATAATTACAGATTAATTAATCCTCCTAGAGAATTGAATAGTCATAATGCCTTACTAAAGACCAATCTTCATTTATGTATCAAAAGATAAAAGAGGTGTCTTTTATTCTTGACACATTTTTAACATATTTAAGAGCCTATTGAGTCACACGCATAAGTTTAAGCATTCACACGATAAAAGAGAAGTAAAGATGTTGAAAAAAGTTTTTAATTTTGGAAAAAGTTTTTGGAAATGGAAAGCTTTCTAAAATAGAAGTTTCCTAATTTGTAAGTTATTTCCAAATTTGGAAGTAAATTACCTAAAAAGAAAATTAGTTTCCTAATATAGGCTTAAGGTAATTTGGGAAATTGTTTCCTAATATGGACCTCTTAAAAAATATCTAACCTAATTTATTTAGATAGTTTAAATTAATTAATAATTAATTGAGCCAAAAGAGCTTAGGCCAATAAGTTTAACTTAAAAACCTACAAGATATTTTGGTGGGGGGATAAACATGAACTTTATTGGATAAGGTTGAATGTTTTAAAGGATAAGATCAAAAAGTCCATAAGCATAATAACTCCTAATCCATAGAAGATTAGAAAGAAACAACCAAAAGTCCTTTAAGGACTCATTGCTACCACCATTTCCTTATCCTTGGAGGACCAGGAAGACACTCCCCTTATAAATATAAGGGGATGTGCGATGAAGAGAGTAATTAAGGCTAGAGGTCGTACGACTAGAGAGAAAATTAAGGAGAAAAATAGTTTTCTCCCATCCTCACACGCGCCACCTCTCTCCCTCTCTTTTAGAGTTATAGTGAAATATCTCTGAATAGATTTCTAAAATAAAAACACTAAACAAGTTAGAAAAGATGGAGCTAGCACTCTATTAATTTTCGGTGCTTCTTCTATGGGTGCTTGAACTATATGGATTATCGATAGAGGTCGGGTACTAAGATGACTCCTTTTCTACAAGAGTTAAATTCTATGCTACAAGAGGTAATCCTTTGTTTATGCTTTAAATCATGTATGTATGATTAGTTGATTCAACGACATGATCTTGGAAACTTTAGATGGAGAAAATTTTTGTTTTATTTCGCACCTTTATAAGATGCATGATCCTTCAATTAGTAGTGTAGCCTCCATTAAATCTTTGATTGTATACTTTGTTAATTATGATTAATTAATTGAATTAGTATTTTTTTATTGTAAATCTTCTATTTTTGGTATTTTATATATGCTTTAAAATTGATATTTGGGCTTTAAAGACTAGGGGCATGCGAGGCCAACGTTGGACGTTGGCGCTTACATGCATGAGTAAGGAGGCTGGTTAGTTGTGTGTTGGTCATGTGCTGGGAGCATAACGGGTTAGGCATAGGCTAGGCCACTCATGCATTAGGCATACGACGGCCCAAGAATGCCTAGCATATGTCGAGCTTCATAGAAGGCCGGTTATGCATTAGGCATGCGACAAGCTAAGCCTTCGAGCAAGTAGTTAGGCACTAGGTGAGCGATAGGCCGGACCTCTTTGATAGGTAGTTACACTCTAGGCACGTGATAGAGTAAGCCCCACCATGTAGTTATGCGTTAGGGGTACGATAGGATAGGCATATCATATGAATGCTAGGCATTACGGTTAAGGCTAGTCACGTATGGGTGTATGACACATTCTAGGCATGCTTTGCGTATGCCAAGCCTCTAGGTAGGCCAAGTCACATGTCATGGAAGGTGTGCCTTGGGCACATACCGGACATAAGGCTAGGCCAAGACATGCCTAGTGGAGTTAGGTGTGCGTATAGGTAAAGCTTGTAGTAGGCTAGACGTGCGCGAGCCAAGTAGAAGGCTAGGCGAGCATGAGCTTCAACTAGTAGACCAAGCATACCTGTTTGGCCATAGGTAGGCCGGGGGTGTGCGAGCATGCCATGCTTAAGGCTAGATAAAGGCCAAGCATGCACAAGCACAACGAGCTAGTAGCTTAGGTGTGAAAGTCTATCGACCATTGAGGCCAAAAATCCAATGGGCCTAAGGTCCAAAAGTCTTAAAATTTAAATTTAAATTAATTTTGATAATTTTATAAAATTATTAAAATATAGATTTATAATTATGATTAAAATAAAATGTGTTACATTAGTATGCCGTGTATCAATATGATTGAAGCATGAGTGAATGGTATGGATGAGTCCACCTAGTTTATAGGAATGAATATTTATAATTTTTTAGATAAATAGGGCTTATGTGTCCTATCTTGTCTATAATTTTATTATATTTCTCTTCTCATCTTACTCCCCTCAAATGTAACTCAATATTTTTTGTTCAAATAAATATAAAAGTAGAAGAAAGGAATTAGAATAGATACAAGAAGAAGAAGCTAAGAGTGAAGACAATCTTGAAGAATTTGTAAGGATTTTTCACCTAGGCATTTGATCCACTAGTCTTCTTGTGGCTCGAGGGGGATAGTATTAGAGATCCATTACCATTCATCGATCATGAGTCATGCATGAGATGTATGTGTTTATGTTATGCGATTGATTGCTAGTATGCATTATAAGATGAGACATATCATATTAAATCCTTCAAATTAAATATCAAGTTAATTGCCTTTCAATGTTATGAGAAGGGAACTCTCTTGATTGTTGTTTACCGATTGAGATAACTTAAGGTCACTTGTTCCTCGAGGAAAATAAATCATGGGCCATACAATGTCCTTGAATGTTTGGATTTAACTTGAAACGAGTTATTGGGTTTGTTAAGAGAACTCAAAATTCAATAAATATGCGGGAAAATATTGGTATTCGGATATGATATGATATGACAAGGAGTTGTCATGCTAATGAGATTAGGAATTGCATTCGATGCAATTAGTAAGGAGTTACCTACCTAATCCTTTATATATGACTTGTTGAGATAACTCAAGGTTAATACATGTTAGAGGATGGGATCCTAACCCATTAAGGAAAAACAAATCCAAAAGTTTTCTTGATTCCTATATTATAGGTTATAGAACTTAAAGAAAATAGACTTTATTTCTTTAATTTATGTTTTGTTTTATTTTATGTAATTTAATTAACCAAACCTTATATTTTTCTGTCATGTCAAATTACATAATATGACTAACAACACATTAATACAATCAATGATTTATGGAAGTAATGCCTTCAATGGCATAAACTTCTTCGATTGAAAAATGAATTTAAGGATGGCCTTCCAACA